TTTTAAGGAACCAGATCTCCACAGAAGCATTCCTTCATATGCGGTACAGTGGAACAGACTGCGCGCTCATGTGTACTGCTGATCCTCAGAAAGACACAAAGGTAGGACTTTTTTGTTTACCTCATCTCCAGCTTAACCTGGTTTAAAAAAACAATTCTGCGTCTTTTTTGCTGTAAGTGAAAAGTTTCGTCATTTACGATGTCCATTGTCCATCGTCCATCGTGCCAAACGGGAATCAAGAAAAAGTAGTATTGATTGCTTTCTTTTTCTAGGAAGGAGAAACCTGTCGCCATGGTGATTTTGGACAGGCGTTTAAGGAACGGTAAAGACTTTTATCTAAAATGATTTGTGTTTTCATGTATATTTCCCCCTTAATTTAATCTTGAATTTTTTTTCTTCTTTTTATTACTGAAGATACGTTCGGGAATTTGGTTTCACGATACCTAACAGACAGATCCTAATTGATGACATCAGAGTGAGAGGGACTGGACACTCTAAGACATCCGTATCACATGAAATACCAAAAGCGAGCACCCCTCCCCCGGTGAAAAAGGTATTCTTACGAACGTCTTTCAGATTTAAGTTTACACCCATGTCTCATGGATAAGATTCTTAAGGGAAAAATCGCAGATCCAATGAAATCTTAATAAGAGAATTTCAACTCTTTGAATCTGATTTTAAATAATTCTACTCTCCTGGCTGCCAAAAATTTCCTTGCAAATAAGTCAAGAGAAAATGGTCTGGTAACTTGTAGACCAATTTCTCTATTCTCATCACCTGTCTGTTGGATGAGACATTGCAATTTTGGGGAGAAGTTACATGTCAATCACTGGGACTTTTAGAGGCAACTAAGTGGCCATCAGGTTGAGGTTTCTTTGGAATAGCCACGAAAACACAAGGTCTGCTTACGCTTTTCTTTCTTACACTAGACAACGAAATGTTACTTTGAAGATGGTTTTCATGACACGAAGGTGTACCTCCTTGAGGAGTTGTCCGCTGGCCAGCTTATAGATGGACCGGCCATTATCGTAAATAATACCAGGTGAACGAGGTTTAAAATGAACCACACATTAATCACAAACAAACACAAGAAGAGTATTCATTAAATTGATGTTTGTTTTTCAGTACCGTTCTTGTTGAACCACAATGCAAAGCGTCTATCACTTCATCAGGAGACATCAAGATTGAGGTTTTGTTTGCTTTATTAGTAAATTGGTATATTGTCTAATGGAAAGCTTCCCGACTAATTTTTGATGTTCTTCTAAGCGAAATGTGTGTTGTGAAAACAGTGCATGGTTTGGGCGAGACATGAATAGGCACTAAGGTAGCGGTCGATGCGCTTCCTTAAAAACGCCTGCTTTGCAGCTCTCTGATCTCGTCGCTGCTATATGCGCCAAGAGGCGCGGCGGGCAGTAAGTAAGTTGCAGCTTTCTTGAACCATTTGCTTCCTTCTCCTCGCACGAAACTCCATCTTGAATCTGAAAATGAAACAGAAGTGGTGTAACGCGTTTAACGTTCTAAACTTAACTGCAATGTTCATTACACGACATACTGGGTCTGAAAATTACATACAAGTTTAACTTAACAAAGATAGTCTTTTCTGAGCACCTCTCAGTTGGGCGTCAAAAAACCAAAACGAAATTAACAACTACGTTCCTTTGGAACAAAGGACATTATCGTGAAACATCTGAGAACTCAAAATGAAAACCGCAGTTAAAAGGGACTGAAGTGAACTAATGTTGTGATGAGATTTCGTTTTTCTTCTCCTGCACGAGAGGGTGGTGCAAAATTTCCAAACCAATCACACAACACAATTGAATATCACTTACCAGTATGGTCGCTACTACTTTTTAGATTGGAGGAAACCAAGGCAAAAAGAGTATTGGAACAGAACTAGATGCGATTCAGGTACTGTTTGAATCAATTTTATGACTAGCTTATGTGAGAGTAACGTTTCTGAATTCTCAGGTTATTGCATAAGAAATATGGGCATTCTATTTGCGTTAACTACGTTATGGATTCAAAGGGATGTAAACAGCCACTTGGTCAGATACAATGATTCTTAACAAATACTACGTACAGTTTCCAAGGTTGTGTATCAATGCACTCAGGGTGCAGATGTCGGTGAAAGGGTCACACTCAAAAAAAAGTTATCTCTGTGCCTCCGAGGCAGTTCTTTTAAGGTGTTCTCCTCCATGTAACCTCTGCCACAGAACAGTTTGCTTGTGTTTCGTGATTAGTTTCATTCTTTTATTTCTCAGCTTTCCATATTTTCCCATCGTTTTATGAGTACAGCTGAGCAGATGGGCCGGTGAGTAAAATGAGATTTATTTCAACTCTGTGGTGAGTTTTTACACAGAATACCTGATTCTGTTTTTTTCTCGCATTCGTCAGAGTTCTTCAGCGTACATCAATTTCAACTAACATCAAGGTGAGATATAATACTGAATGTTATTTCGTTAAATTTTTCGTATCTATCTCAGGGACGTTTTGGCGTTCAAGGTTGGTCTATTGCTTTAAATGGTTTTGTTTCTGCGGCTGAGACTAACTTTTTCGTTTATACTGAACTAACTTGAATCCAAGTCACCGATCTACGAGACCTGATACAGAGGGGCTGAGTTTCTATCATGGCTTCTTTGGTCAATGGAGTAGAAATTTCCTGATTACAGTTATACCTTTTCACTTTTTGCAGGAGCGACTCGACTTTTCCTGTGCTATGTTTGGACCAGATGGAGGCCTGGTTGCCAATGCCCCACACATCCCAGTTCATCTCGGTTCCATGCAGGAAACTGTGCAATATCAGGTTTAAACAACACTATTTTCAACTAAATACTACTTAATAATTTTTTTTAATTTGATCTATGTCGTTTTATTGCCTTCTTCGTCGAGATTCTTTCATGGCTAATCATGACCTGGAATTCTTTTTAGATTCGCACTTTAGGAGATGATCTGAAGGAAGGTGATGTTTTACTCAGTAACCACCCGAGCGCAGGCGGGACACATCTTCCAGATTTAACTGTCATCACCCCGGTAAGGAAGATATTCGATCCAGAGAACTATAAAGTCTCCTTTTTAGGACACCTATGGACCCACAGTTAACACGACCATTACAAAAACCGCTAAACCTAAATTTCACACGAAGCTTTAAAAAAAAGTGGCTTGGGTGGAAGCAACTTAGGTCTTATTTTCGAAACTTACGAAATCGAATCACATAGGAAAAACATTCGATTAAAAGAAAATTTCCAAGGTAGATAGACATCCTAAAATAAAGAATTTTCTGATAGGGATAAAGCATGGTGCACACGACAACCAGCTTATCATGCTACGCCTATTAGACGAAAAAAATTGTACTCTGGCGCAACGCAAATTCACAGATTTAGAATCAGTATGGAAACAAAATTTTAATTTAACTAAGGAAGACTCAGTTGTCTCTCGCTCCTTTTCTTCTGCTGTTCAGGTTTTCTATCCTGGTCAATCAAAGCCCGTGTTCTTTGTCGCAAGCCGTGGCCATCATGCAGATATCGGAGGATCTGCTCCAGGTCTGTACCAATCCTTTTTAGCTTATCAGAACGATATTGACTGTCAAGAACTATTCAGCGTTCACAAACTCCTTAACGTATGTCTTTTAACCCAAGATTCCGTACAATGATTTTGATTAGCTCTTAGGTGAGGCATTTTATGAAGGCTCTTGAGGTTCATTTACAAGAGTTTTTGTTGTTGTACTTTACGCTAGACTCTCGATTAGTAGAGACACGAGCACTGAACGGCTGGGATCTGGGAAACAAGAAATGCACTTTCCTCTTTCCCAGGTCCTAAGCACTTCTCTCGATACCACGATAAAGAGCCCGGAAAAGGTTATTGTTGCTGTTGCTTCTTCTCCTGTATTTGTTTGTTTCGTCCATTTTTGAGCGCAGATGTTATCCTGTGTGTTGAAATTATCCTTATGTTTGTCTCATAAACCTTTTCTATATTTAAACATATGAGAAAACATTTTATACATTTTTTTCCCTTACAGGGTCCATGCCGCCTGATTCACATTCCATATTTGAAGAAGGAGCCGTGTTCAAATCATTTAAAATAGTTAAAGGAGGTGTCTTTCAAGAAGAAGGTACAACGTTACTTTTCGAACTCGGTACCTCACATCTCCAAATTTAAACTCAGGCACTCTTCTCTGGTAATGTGCTTTTGAGCTACAATGTTGAATGATAACTTAATGCTCGCCAACGCAACTAAGTGAACAGATACCGATAGAATGTTTTCCAGAAAAGGAGGTTGCCCTTTTTTAACCAGAATCACAATAGAACTTCGAGCAGCAGTTAACGTCCAGATTCGAAATGACCCGTAGTTGTATTGTGAAGGGGACAAGGATCAATCCAGTAATTTTAATCTGACGTCTTCGTTCTACAGCACTGATTGAAAAGCTTATGGAGCCCAGCAAGTATCCCGGATGCAGTGGAACGCGCAATCTCCATGACAACCTGTCTGATCTTAAGGCCCAAGTGGCGGCTAATCATAAGGTACGGGCATGTTTAGTCCTCTCCCTCCCCTCCCCTAGCCTTCCATCTTTTGATAGTCTTATATTTAAATTCAATCGAGTCTAATTACACAGGTGACAATAGAGACGTGTGCCCTGTGATTGGGCGATGATTATGTGATATCTCGGCTCGTTGATAGCATATTTGGTATTTTTACTTTATAGGGAATCAAATTGATTAGTAGCTTGATAGAAGAATACAGCCTGCCCGTGGTGCAGGCATACATGAAGTATATTCAGGTGAGATTCTCAGAAGCTGTTCCAACGAAATATAAAAGTAACTTGGTCTGTGTTGAAGATTGTTTTAATAATTCTTATTTCAGTGAATTTTTTTTGCGTTTATTTTAGCATAATGCCGAAGTTGCTGTTCGAGAAATGCTGAAAGATATTGCTGCAAAAACTAAGGTGAGGAAATATGACAGAACTACATGAACAGTGCATGATTGCATAGGTATTGTTTCACTGCGTCCTGTGATTGGTCTAGAAACGCGCCATTCTTTCAGCCAATCAGATACAAAACTTAAACCGATCGTGACTTTGTCATTCGTGTTTCCCGCGCTTCAGGTCGACTACGTCATATCCACTTTTTGTTTTCATTGGCTCTATGTGATGTTTTTCTTGCTCTGATTGGTTGTTGTGACTAGCTTTAATTGGAAAAAGCTCTTTGCAGCAGAATTAATCAGGAAACCTTAGGTAACAGCTATTGATGCACAGCAAAAAGAGAGGGATACCCGTCTTTCTTTACCCGAAAAAATTTGACATTTCATCTTGACAAATCTTTTGCGGGTAGAGTTTTTATTTGTGACTTTTGTTTTCCTGTCAAATCGGCAGGAACGCACCGGAAAGACAGTACTATCCGCCGAGGATCACATGGATGATGGATCGCGCATTAAACTTACAATTTCCATCGACGAGAAAGAGGTAGATAGTCTTCACATGAGGACGTGGAATTCTAGTTCAATATAAGATTTTTAATGGAATCCATAACCAAATCAATTGTCCAAGTATACTGGGGCAGAATTTTGAAATTTTAAGGTCATTCAACAAAGTTCTCAGTCTTCCAAGACTGAACGGCCTCCTGTAACGTTAATTTAAGTGAACAACTTTCTTTGTTTAAGACTTGTACTCAGTGTAAAAAATAAAGCTGTAAAGGTTTCAGCGAAGGGTACTTTTCGATGAAGTTATTACTATTTCGTTTCAGGGCAGCGCAGTCTTTGACTTCACAGGAACTGGACCCGAGATGTACGGGAACTGTAATGCACCTCGCGCCATCACCTTCTCTGCCATTATTTACTGTCTGCGGTGCATGGTCAAACACTCGATACCGCTGAACCAGGTAATTATAAGCTGCGTCTGTTTTCCTTGCGTTTATCTAGATAATTTACCAAATCCTTCAGAGGCTTCAATACTATGAAAATTTTTAGACCCGTCAACACTGTTTTTTCCCTCCTTCAGGGTTGTTTGACGCCAGTAAAAGTAGTTATTCCGCCTGCTAGCGTTCTTGATCCAACGGAAACTGCGGCAGTTGTTGGCGGGAACGTATTGACTAGTCAGCGAGTTGTTGACGTGGTGCTGAAAGCCTTTGAAGTGTGCGCTGCGTCACAGGTTAGTGAGAAGTCACGTGTTATGTCACTTGCCCTGGAATGTCTCGCACACTTAATTTCAACTTATAGCCGCAAAGCCTAAAAGGAATGTGTACTACTGACAGCGAGGTATCGCTTTGTATAGGGATGTATGAACATAACCGCGTTTGGAGATCAGCATTGCCAGTATATTGAGACAATCAGTGGTGGATCCGGGGCGGTAAGTGTGTTTATTGTCTGTCTAATTCACTTTCCACCTGTGTGACAGGGCTGTATGAATAACACGACCTTTGGCGACGAAGGATGCGGCTACTACGAGACAATCTGCGGAGGATCTGGGGCGGTGAGTTGTTTCCACTAAGGATTTTAAGTTACTGGTCACTTAAGGACGAATGATCTGATCAGTTATGTGAAAGATAAGTGTTCAATTGAGTGTCGAAAATAATCCAGCTTTGTATGGTTTTGCTACATTTGGCTCTCTGATAAATTCGGAAAACCTGTCGTCCAAACAGATACAAAAGTAAACCAGTCGTGACTTGTTAATGCGTGTATGTCCGCCCTTGAGTTTGGTAATGTTAAGTTCCATTGGCTACTTGTGTTGTTGACCTTTGCTCAGATTGGCTATTTCTCTCTTGAAGGTTTGGTTTTACGAATCTCAGTCGAAAAGCGCTCTACAGTCTTTCTTGTTTGTTCCCAGCAGCAAACTTGAGATTTGTTTGTTGTTTGCGTTTCTTTGACCTAAATTTATTCAACCATCTTATTGGTGGCCAAATAAAAACAAATGAGTACTTTTTAAAAAAATTGTAGACATAAATGTAGATGATACTGTGTTAATTTTTGAAAGAAGGCACCTATCCTCTTCGCAGGGACCCACATGGGACGGACGCAGTGGAGTTCATGTCCACATGACAAACACAAGGATCACAGATCCAGAGATAATCGAAAGAAGGTAGCTTAGCTGATAATTTTCACGAGATTAACGGCTACCCCGGGGGAACAGTGGGAGGATGGGATGTTACGCGACCTCAGTCTCGATTATTTTCCAAAATTTTTCAACATATTTACCTCGAGACGTGTGTCAGATTTAAAAGGAGAATTACTAATTAGATATTGGGACTCAAAAGAGGAAAGAACAAAGTTTGTTCAAAATACGAAAAAGAAAAAACGTAGTTCAGAACACTTGGCACATTCTAACTCCACAAGGATTAGTTGGGTTAGGGAAAACTAGTGAAGGCCTCGACTGGTTTGTTGTCACTTGAAAAGGTTTAGAAAGAGTAAGCCTGGGCTCTAGACTGATATGTTTTCCGCCCTTGCTAGGTTTCCAGTGATTCTGCGCCGTTTTCATCTCAACCCCGGTACTGGTGGGAATGGTTTTCACAGGGGTGGTGACGGTGTTATACGCGAGCTGCTGTTTAGAAAAGAGCAAGTTC